ACTCAATGTCTTGTTTTATTGACACCTGTGTTTCTGCCTGCCTGTCTGACAATATTCAATACACAACTGCTATCACTGACCACATGCAATTTGAACTTAACACCAATCAGGCTATACACCATAAACAAAATGCATTGTTTTATGGCCCGAGTTCGGTCTCTGTCACATTATGTAATTACACAGACAGGCAGGTGTGATACTTGAACACATGACATGTTATGATGTCTGTTGATTGCAAAATGTTATACACAAAAAATGAGCCTGTATTTACAAAACCCAACATCTCTATATATACACACACAATGAGCCGTGAAGGCAGCATCTGCTAATGAACCAGCCGTTACACTTGAGTGCACACCCACCCGCTCTGACTGGGTTCGGTATCCCGGTTGCTTCGTTTCTTGGGAAGTAAACCAAAGTACACAATTTTGCACTTTTGATTTGCAATTTTACGCTTATAATTTTGTTTATATGTTTTTTCATTACCAGCAATGTATATTATATGTCACGAATAAGTGATAATTGTGTTTTAATTATGTTTGATTTTTTGGTTGCATGTGACCTTTAAGGTGCTTTCTTCACATTGGTTTTACAAAGTTCCTAAATTTTCTTTCCTGTTTTGTATGTGTTTAATGGATTATTTAAAAAATAAGGGGCAGTCGTGTCAGTCTCCAGTCAAACAAACATCCTACTTACAGCTCGCTGGCGTCATGCAGTTGACAATACACTGACAACTGGAGGCCAGCCCTGATAAGTTGTTCATTGTTACATATGCATACATATACATGCATATGGTTGTCATTTGCAGGTTTTTATAAGTTTGGATAAGTAAAATACCAGATAAGTAAACAATTTTGGCGGGTCCCTTGAAATTTTACTTATCAGGTTTCCACTGTACCGTATATGACCGACTATAAGTCGGAAATTTGATACCAGAAAATGAAGGTAAAAAATCAGACCCGACTTATACTTGAGTTCATTAATCTACCCAAAAAAATCCCGAGGTCAGGTGTGTGAATCTGCCAGCCCTGCGAACTCAACTGGCAATGTTTACACCGGAAGCAGGACGCATATACGTACTGACAACGTTTCCAAAGGTAAATGACATCGTGGGACAAATAAAACATAAAATATAAAACTTTGTTGTTTGTCTTTTGTAAAATATATTTCATTGTATAAACAATAAATTAAATTTAATCAGATATTTTTATCACAGTATATTAAAATACTTATCAACCTTGCAGTTCATTCTCTTGATAAGATAATAGACTTATCACCTAATAGATTCAGTATATCTAGAGTTACATTTTGGACTAGGTAATAGACTTATCTACCGTACAGTTTGGTATACTTTTTCAACTACAAGTACCTGTTGATAAGATTACAGACTTATCTGCCCAAACATTTGTTATCTGAGATTTCCTGTTGATGAGACAAGACTTATCTCGCTATACGTAATTCACCATATTTTGAAAGTACCTATTGACAATATAACAGACTTATAAACCTTATAATTCAGTATATTTTCAAACTACGTGTTGATCGGATTACAGACCTTTCTACCTTACAGTTTGGTATATGATGAAATATAAGATAATAATACATATTTACACCTGATAAGATAGATGACATTTTTTTCACATTTCAGTTTAGAGACAGCACAAAATAAAGTCAAAAGGCACAGTCAAAATATACAATGCACAGACTGCGTGTCTTGTTCCATAACATGTCACTCATAAAAAGTATGAAAATTCCACCATTCAGTGCACATTCTTCTGTCAGGTCACGGTCACTGCAACTAGCCATGTAAGGTTAAGTCAACGAAGTGAGTGAGTGAGTGTGTGAGTTCAGTTTTACGCCGCTTTTAGTAATATTCCAGCAATATCACGGCGGGGGACACCGGAAATGGGCTTCACACATTGTACCCATTTGGGGAATCGAACATCTTCGGCATGACGAGCGAACGCTTTAACCACTAGGCTACCCCAACGCCCCTATCAACCGAAGAGGCAACTGATGGATTCTGGTGGTCAAGGCTTGCTAACTTGGTCATCATATCTTAATCGATGTTCAAAATATTGAATGGATGCTCATGGTTTCACTCATTGGACTGTGTTTACAGATCAGGGCCTAGATTTTCGAAGCTCTCTTAGCACTAAGATAGTCGTAGGGCCTAGATTTTCGAAGCTCTCTTAGAGCTAAGATAGTCGTAAGTGCCATACATTAACATTAACTTACAACTATCTTAGCGTTAAGAGAGCTTCGAAAATCTAGGCCCTGTATCATATAGTCAGGGTCAGGATCAGGGTCATCATCAGGGTGATGTTCTACAAAAAGATCTTAGAGTAAAGGTGAGCTTCACTTCCTAACTTTAACACAGACTTAAGCCAGGCATAGCAATAAGATTGCATTGTAGACCAACACACTGGTATGGCAAAATAAATACAATCTTTGAACATCTTTGATAAAACGCAGTCCCCACAGGTCTACCATTTCTCCAGTGAGTGAACCTCATGTCATGTCAATATCGGGGCGGTGGGGTAGCTTAGTGGTTAAAGTATTCGCTCGTCATGACCATAACCCAGGTTTGATTCCCTACATGGGTACAATGTGTGTAGCCTATTTCTTGTGTCATCCGCTGTGATATTGCTGAAATATTGCTAAATTCGACGTAAAACCGAACTTACTCACTCACTCACATCTTGATATTTCTTTTTTCAGAAATTCTTGGATAATATGAGAACATCCGGAAAGAGAGAAACATTACAAAAATGTGTCAAGATCATTTGAGGTTATACATGTACAAAGGAAGTCTTAAAAACTACTTTCGGTTTTAGAATCTACCAACAGTATGTACCAACAATTAACTAAAAACAACATAAATAAAAAAGTTAAACACTTTAGTTTTCATTTTCCTTGTCAAAATGAGTTCAACTTGTCAGTTCAAAAACACAAATTGTCAGAAATAGGGTCTGTTTTCTTTTTTTATTAAATTGGCTCAATCATAAACTTTTTTAACTTAACTTCAAAGCCTACATTGTGTCACTTCAATACACTTGACAGCGGATACCTGTGAAGGTCCGGGTTAGAATGAGCCTTCAGTAACCCATGCTTGTGGTAAGAGGTGACTAACGGGATCGGGTGGTCAGGCTTGCTGGCTTGGTTGACACATGTCATCGGTTCCCAACTGCACAGATCGATGTTAATGCTGTTGATGACTGGATTGTCTGGTCCAGACTCGATTATTTACAGACCGTCGCCATATAGCTGGAATATTGCTGAGTGTGGCGTAAAACTAAACTCACTCACTCACTCACTTGACAGCTGAAATGATTGATTGGATGTTGTTTTATGCTTGTTTTAGCAATATTCCAGCAATTTCATCACAAGGGACACTAGAAATTGGCTACATACATTTTACCCATGTGGAAAATCCAACCAGGGCTTCCAGAACTACATGTGAATGCTTTAACCTTGAGGCTATCCTCCTCCTATCATGACTGAGTGAGTTTAGTTTTACGCCGCTTTTTGCAATATTCCAGCAATATCATGGCGGGGACACCAGAAATGGGCTTCACACATTGTACCCATGTGGGGAAACAAACCTTAGTCTTCGTCATGACGAGCGAACACCTTAACAACTAGGCTACCCTACCTCTACCAATGGAAGAAAAAAATGTCAGCTGAAGAAATATACTTGCAATGTTTTACCTGGTCTTGTTACACACTCATCATTTAACCATCTTAAACTTATTGTTTACATGCCAGTTAAAATAATGATATACCTTCCCCTTATTATGATGATGAATCTGTTGTCTTTTCGTTGTTTTTAAACAATACACCCAACAAGTATTAATACATTTCACTATAAATACTTGTCTATGTGAGTGAGTGAGTTTAGTTTTACCCTGTGTTTAGCAATATTCCAGCAATATTCCAGCAATATCACGACCTGGGAAACCAGAAATGGGCTTCACACATTGTATCCATGTGGGGAATCGAACCTGGGTCTTTGGCATGATGTGTGTGAATTTTGGGTTTCATGAAGCGAAAATCATCATATTTGGTTGAGGGCAAAAGCTTCTCTACAACATTTAAAATATAGAGTGCCCTCCCACCACACTACCCACAAATAATTAAAAAAGATAAAATAAATAAATAATTAAATAAATAAAAAATAATAAATAAAAAATAATAATAAATAAATAAATAAATAAATAAATGAATGAATAAATAAATAAATAAACCTTGATTCACTGATTACAATACAACCTGAAGATACAACATGCATACAATTAATACAACATGCTTATACTAATTGGTAAACAGTCTCTTTTCTATCTGCACTTCTGTTGATTAAAAGAAATCTCCAGTTCATTTCAATTATAAATATATAACAAGCAAACAATAAACTTTAATATGTTAACATTCATTTTATTATTACAAAAACAATATTTGCGGTACGTGACAACTACCACATTGGCAAGACTGGCATTTTTACTTTTTATGGCTTGTCGAGAGGTCATGCAAAAATACAAGCACTCCAGCAAGGTCAGAAATAAATGACATAATAAACTGAGGCCCTCTCTGGAAAACCTCTTCATTCTCTCGTTACTGGGGTTTGAGATAAGGGTCTGATATTTAACATGCGTCACGACAATGAACAGCTTCTACAACATAGCTTCCTCTTCCGATTCTTATACATCAGCCACCCACGTTAAGAAGATTGTTCCTGATGACAAAGTTCATCTTGAATACTTCCCTACGTTCGCCTTATAACGAGGTGACAGGTATATATACATGTTTTCAACGTAACCTTCGTGACCTAACATTGTGTGGCTTGGTATGTTGCACTAGCGACCATGTACTATGAATATTGTCATTGAATGTACACAGATGTATCTGCAGTGTCACTCAACCGTGACGTTCATATATACACGACTCACAATGAGCCTGCACCACTGACAGTGACTTTAACCCTTTAATAAAAACTTGCTCACCTTTATGACAGTACGACGTCAACAACTTCAGCGTGTCTTCCGAGTTTTTATATTTCTTCTTCCAGTCCACCTCGGCGTCTGCAGACTGCTCCATGTCGCCGGCGAGTCGTGACACCGATATGTACTGTATCAGTCAGCTTCTCCGCGTTGACCTCACTACGAAACCAGCTTGATATACTTCCTAGTTGTTAGCCAATCAGAGACGACTTAACTTTGACCCCTGGCATACCCCTTTGACAACATCAGTCCCGTTGAATAGCAGGTGCGTGATGGGTGTTTGTTTATTGTTTACCGCCATATGATGGCGGTCAGTAAACAATCGAGTCTGGACCCGACAATCCAGTGATTGAAATCATGATCTACATCATTCCTGGGTTGACGACTTAACTGTAGAGCACGTCAGCGAGCCATTGGGTCGAACCCGTTAATCGCCTCTTACGGCAATGAAAGGTTGCTGGAGCCAATTTTCAACCCAAATCTCCATAAGGGGAGGTTTAAAATTTTACTGTAAAACGTGTAAAATCAGCATCTACAGTGAGGAAGGATATGTTTTCGTTATACGACTCATGTGTAGAGTATACACATACAACATCATAATCCAGGGATACTCTATGTACAGCGTCTTCTATTCTCCCTGCATAATCTTATCACTTGGTAGTTTCAAAATATAGTTTGTTTGTTGTTTAGGGTCCGTACATAATTTATCATCAATTTTGTACATAATATTTAAAAGATATGCTTAAAAGTTATGGGAAGGGTTCATTGATTTTGTACATGACATGCGGTGTGTGTGTGTGTGTGTGTGTGTGTGTGTGTGTGTGTGTGGTGTTCACTTACTTTATACATAAAGTTGGGGGGGTCATTCACATTGTTCCATTTTGCATGCTATTCCATTTAAATCATCATCATCCCCCCTAGCCATAAATAATAGTGATATTGAAAACCTTTTGCACGATTCGCAAATGCCCATACGTGTCTTGTCTGCGAAGTGTCTTGTTGTGTGTGTGTTTGCGTGCGTGTGTACAATGTGTGAAGGCCATTTCTACTGTCCGTGCAGGAATATTGCTGGAATAATGCTTACAGCGGTGTAAAACCATACCCACTCTGGTTGTGTGCAAGGGACGGTGGGGTAGCCTGGGTTTGATTCCCCACATGGGTACAATGAGTGAAGCCCATTGCTGGTGTCCCCGCCGTGATGTTGTTGGAATATTGTTAAAAGCGGCGTAAAACCCAATTCACTCACTCACTGTTGTGTGAACGGATTTGCACCCAAGTTAAGGGTAGTATTTTAAGAACAGGAATTGTGTAGGTAAGATTCACAGAATGATACACCAAATACCCAAGATATTTCATGAGGGTGTTTTTCGGTTAACTGGGTCAAAGAACAAACGCATGAACGCAATGTTAATATGGTTTTAGGTATATATTATGTCCGCTTCAGCAGCTTTGTCCCCGCTGATACGACATACATGCATACGTTCGAGATAAAAGGTACATGTCTATTCACCCGGGGTCGAGAATAAGTTAGATATACCCATACTCTCATCGGCTGACACAATTGAGTGTGTGAGTGAGTAAGTTGGGTTTGACACCGTATTGACCAATATTCCAGTTATATTACATGTTTGTTTGTTTGTTGTTTAACGCCGCACTCAGCAATATTCCATCTATACGGCGGCGATCTGTTAATAATCGTCTCTGGACCAGACAATCCAGTGATCATCATCATGAGCTTCGATCTGCTTTTCCGGATACGATGACATTTGTCAACCAAGTCAGCGAACCTGACCACCCGATCCCTTTAGTCGCCTCTTACGACAAGCACGGGTTGATGTTTTACATGTGTCAGCGGAGGTGAGAGGAAAGCCGGAAAAGACACTGGCTCAGACGTATTCTGCTGTGGTGAAATCACGAGGACAGGTATGGTGCTGTCAAACCCAGAATCCACAGTTATATTGGTTTCTGGCGTATACAAGGGACGCAACCCTGCAGAGCCAAACACGAAGCGTCAGATAATTGAGTGAGAGAGGTTTTACGCCGCTTTTAGCAATATTCCAGCAATATCACGACAGGGGACACCAGAAATGGGCTTCACACATTGTACCCATGTGGGGAATCGAACCCTGGTCTACGGCATGACGAGCGAACGCTTTAACCACTAGGCTACCTCACCGCCCCTCAGACAATTGAAAGTGTTCTTGTAGTCATGTAGATAATGTAGTATTGTAGTGAAAAGTTTTGAAAGCAATGTAGTATACGTTTTAGTAATTTATCTATTCATCTATGGTTAAAGTTTAAAACCATCGTTAGGCTAGACCTTTTTACGATTTGGTTTACGACACCCGGTTTACGAATTTGAAACGTAATTAGAGATGTAAATTAACAGCGATGTTTTGGTGTGGGTGGCTTTTTTAAATTCCGCTAACAACAAATAACTAATTATGTAAAGAAATAGACAAAAAAACAGCAACAACAAAACTTTTACTTTTGCAGTTGATTTATTATTTTGATATACAGTTTAACCTAACAGTTAAACGTGTTTCTGAACCAAAATCCATGCATTTGAAATTGTTTTTGACGTGTGTGTGGGTTTTTTTCTGACCAAGAGAAGAAGGACCATTCTTGAATTTCATTAACTTCAGCTGCAGTCAGTGATAACAGGCACGTGCACTGGACGAAATGTGTTTCAACCATGGCAACGCACATATCATGGATAATTCAACGAAAACACTATTCCAAGTGGAAATCTAATCTTTAACATTTAATATTGAAGATGAACTTAAATTACCAAGATATTTTGTGGATTTTTGTGGAAGCTTCTTTATTCTTTCCCACACAACGTTTCGGGATTATTCATCAGGTGAAGTGACAGTTGATACTATAGTTGGGGGCGCGGTGGGCGAGCTGGCTAAGGCGCCAGGCTAGTGATCCAGCGAGGTTCAGGTGTCGGGATCGAGCCCACCTATATGGCGGCGGTCTGTAAATAATCGAGTCTGGACTAGACAATCCGGTGATCATCATCATGAACACAATCTACGCAATTGGGATACGATGACATGTGTCAACCAAGTCAGCAAGCCTGACCACCCGATCCCGTTAGTCGCCTCTTACGACAAGCATGGGTTATTGGAGATTGTAACCCTTATCTTGTCGAGTGTCAAGGTTAGGAGAGAGTTCACAATGTAGATGACGTCATAATAACGGTGACATCACAGTCACGTCACGTGACATTGACGTAACCACAATCACGCTGGGCAGTCTTTCCATAAAGCCACAAAGATGGGTTGGATCCCACGTCTCGTTACCACAGCCACCGCCGGATCCGCGACTTTTCTGAAGTGGTGCCCTTCAGGAGCGGACATCAAGATCATTACGGATGTTCATACCAACACAACTCAGTTGTACATGGGTTCAAGGTATTGTTTTAGCAGTCGCTTGCTTTAGTTACTGTATTCTTTTTGTACCAAACAATAAAATTCCACTGGTTTATAAACTCTGTCAAAAAAGAAACGCAACCCCTGTATTTTAGAGATTTTGATCTGAAGTTTTAGGACGACACGGCATTTTTATTATTTAAGACAGAAGTCTGAAATTTGGCAGAATAATAACCCAGATGGGCATGTTTAAAATTGTCATTTCAAAAGTCATCTCACAGACACCAGTTTGTCACCAGGGGTCGTCTTTCTCAGTATCTCGTATGAGCACCACGCGCTGCAATCACTGCACGGCATCTCCTTGGACAAGAACGGATAAGACGCCGGATTCTTTCCTGGGGAATGGCTCTCCACTCCTCCTGCAGTGCAACGGCGAGCTGTTGCAGCGTCTGTGGCGGCGGCTGACGTTGACGTACGCGTCGATCCAGAGTATCCCACAGGTGTTCAATAGGGTTGAGGTCTGGTGATTTAGAGGGTCATGGCAAGACATTGACGTTGGAATTCTGCAGAAAGTTCATTGTTGCACGTGCAGTATGAGGCCGGGCGTTGTCCCGTTGAAAAATCTGTGTCTGTTGGTCAATAATCGGGAGAAGGTGAAGCTCTAACACGTGGTTGATGTAACGTTGGGCTGTCAGGTTCCCTGGAACGATCACCAAGTCTGATTTCTGGTTGTATGAGATGGTTCCCCAAACCATGACGCTTTCTCCGCCAAATCTGTCCACCTGTCGGACGCAGATGGGCGCAAAACGTTTATGACGTCTCCAATACAGACGCTGTCTTCCGTCGTGACGTTGCAAAAGAAAACGTGATTCATCAGAAAACCAGATTCGCCTCCAGTTTTGTAAAGTCCGTATCCTTACGTTGTTGCACCACCTGAGTCGTCGGCGTCGATGTAGGGGGCGTAGTACAGGTCCAACAACTGGTCTACAGGCACGTAAACCCGCTTCTTTCAGACGGTTCCTAATCGTTTGAGCTGACACTCTCCTCAAACCTGGTATTTGTGTGGCAGTCACGGTTGGTAGGGCATGCCGATTACGCAGGTGATGGACCCGGATGTACCGATCTTGACGGGGGGGTCGTGATTCTTGGCCTTCCACTTCTCGGGCGATCGTTGGTCAAATTGAAGTTGTTGTAGCGGCTCCAAAGTCGGGATATCGTTGTTTTGTGAACATTTAGGTGCCGTGCAACAGTTCCAAAACTTTCTCCGGCTTGAACACGACCAATGGCGATATTTCGGTCGGCAGCACTCAATCGTGGCATTTTTAACACAGCTTTTCGGCGACAAATGAATGAATATAATACGGAAGCACATGGGCTTTATACACCCCTACATTAACTGCCATTTTCATGATTTGCATGTGTTTTTTTTGTGCGAAGTCACCATGAGGGTCATTTCATGCGTTGTGACGGAATAAGCAATAAAATACACTTATGCGTACAAATGCAGTTGTTTGGATGGTAATCTTCATTAATTACATGTATCATTTCAATACATTCGAATAAAATTTAGTTTGGAAGCAATAACTTCATTCAAACGAATTTTTCATATCTGAGGACAGGGGTTGCGTTTCTTTTTTTGACAGAGTTTATAAACAATCTACTTAAGCTTAACGGGTATCTATATGGAGCACAGTGGTGTAGTGGTTAGCATGCAGGCCTCTCACGCCAAAGGCCCGGGTTCGAATCCCGTTGGAGACACCAAAATTTGTGACCTGGGTCTCATGATGTGTTGTGTCCTTGGGCAAGGCACTTCGTCCACATTGCACTCAGTCCACCCAGCTGTTCAAATGGGTACCTGAGAAGCGGATGTACGGACCTATACGGTCGCGCGAAGCGCTTAGTAGCAGCTTTGAAAGTACAATTCCGTCAGGGTAATAATGTAACGCCAGAGAGCAGCATCGCGTTGGATTCTAGGTGCAAAAATTAGCATTATTATTATTATTAGCATTATTATATGTAAGTGAATGAACTCTTGCGTGATAGCTAGGATGGGTAAAGGGTCAAATCTCCTTTACGGATAAAAAATGAAAGTTTAGTAAAGGTTTTCATTCGTGTAAGGTTTTGTTCATCGTTTTCACCACATCTTCTTATGTCAACCTTTTTTGGGTGAACCAGTGTTTAATCTTATCTGTTTCGTACTTCAGTTCGACAATGGATAATTCTACTGCATTCGTGGAATTGGCAAGAAACAATGCAAAAGAAGGTAATATAATACGTTTAATCACTAAGTGACAAAATATACACATGTTGATTTAATTTGGAACAATAACTATGTGTACTTAGGTAATATTTCAGCACAAATGGTGCGAATAAACATGAAACTCGTTTCTTTTAGAGCTGAGGATGTTTTGGTACGGAAGGTGTTGGTGGATGTATAGAAAACATTAAACGGAAATAAACAACTGCCTCCTTCTATTGTGGTTCAAAGGCTACAGTGTAGAATAACTTTGGCTTTCGTTACCTCCAGTGTTGAAGGATGGTTTGGTACAGAAGATGTTGGTGTGTGCCGGTGCTGCTGCTGTCGGGGGCATCTCCTATCTGGCCTGGAGGAAGTATGGCAGGTCTATCACCAGGCGGCTCTTCCAGAACGAGGACGATGTCGAGGAGGATCACGTGCTGGAGAATATTGGCCACGAAGATGGTGACGATGTCAATCATGACGATGGTCGTGATGAAGACAGTGAATACTCTGATGGTGATGATGGTGATGATGATGACGTGTCTGATGAAGAGAGCGACACCAGTTACCCTGACCTTGAGACCCACGTGTACGCCTCGGCGGAGAGGGGCGACGCCGCCACGATGTTCTCCGACGAGGAGATTGACGTCCCCGCCATGCCGGCCACCCAGAGGAGAGTACAGCGATCTCGCAAGAGGCTCGTCCGTGCCGGGAGATCGCGAGACTACACAGATTAAGTGTTCAGAGCCTTCTGAAATTGAATACTGTTCAAAGCTCGTCCTTTCCGGATGAAAGCTAGACTAAGCATTCGAGAGCTTTGCAGTGGGGTACGGGCTGCATGTGCGTGCGTACGTGCGCGCGTGTTTTCGTTTGTGGAAAATAAGAGTGACTGATTGGTGTACGTGCGTGCGTGCGTGCGTATGTGTATGTGCAATGTGTGCCTGCAGAATCGTGGAATGAGGCATGATGCCAAACATGGGATCAAAATGGACCCAATATTCCAACAGTTTGCGAACTACAGTTGTAGACATGAACCCAGGAAATTCGTCTCTGACAATGGTAGTAGCGAGGGTTGAGCTCCGATTATACCAGCAAATATTGGAAGCGCTCTCAAACACTCTAAATGGCACTAGCCATTATATACGCACGTGTAGTGTGTGGTGTATGCATACAAATGTACCTGAATGATGGTTGTGATTATCTTCTCTGTTTTGTGAATAAAAAGGTAATATCTCTAATATTATCTCTTCCGTAAGACTTGCTTGTTTGTTGGGCACGTCTTCACAGTATCACAAGTGTCTGTAAATAATATATCTGGACCAGACAACGACAGGAATACACTTTGGGAGAACAATACTTATTCTACCCTAGATTACACACAGACTTTCAATATGCAAGTAAGCTAAAGTCATAGACAAGAATTTATGTGAACAAAATGAATGTTTGTTCCTAATGTTGTACAACACACGACCAAAGTGAACGATTTGGGTGACATCACTTCCTTGATTGTTGTTACAGGGTGTGAAAATGCCAAAACCCATACGTGCAGATGTTTCAGTATTTAATCTATAAGATGATGGCAAACCTAAATACATCGATGGGCTCGCTCTCTCTCTCTCTCTCTCTCTCTCTCTCTCTCTCTCTCTCTCTCTCTCTCTCTCTCTCTCTCTCTCTCTCTCTCTCTCTCTCTCTCTCTCTCTCTCATCGATGGTCTCTCTCTCTCTCTCGTATACTGTTTGTTCAGCAGTGTTGTTGATATGGCAAACCTAAAATCATCGATGGTCTCTCTCTCTCTCTCTCTCTCTCTCTCTCTCTCTCTCTCTCTCTCTCTCTCTCTCTCTCTCTCTCTCTCTCTCTCTCTCTCTCTCTCTCTCTCTCGATCTCTCTCTCTCTCTATATATCGATCTCTCTCTCTCTCTCTCTCTCTCTCTCTCTCTCTCTCTCTCTCTCTCTCTCTCTCCTCTCTCTCTCTCTCTCTCTCTCTCTCTCTCTCTCTCTCCTCTCTCTCTCTCTCTCTCTCTCTCTCTCTCTCTCTCTCTCTCTCTCTCTCTCTCTCATCTCGTATACTGTTTGTTCAGCAGTGTTGTTGATATTGACTCAGAGTTAGCTGCAAACATGAATTACATAGGCTTCATCGTCTGAGAATGGCTAATATACCTACTTTCTGTAATAAGCCACTTTCAGAGCCCGGAAATTAACAAGAGCACATGAAATAAGCTTTAGTTTGCAATAGTTTGAAAAAAGCCCATATTAAGTGCTAAGCTGAGGCCGCGAAGGTTTATTGTGTCTGAAAAGTAAGAAAGACAGCAACCTGCAAGTGTTTCCTGAACTTCGTGTGGGTGCGGGGGGATAAACATGCTTAATATTATAATATATAATGCAGGTGTTACTAAAACAGTCACTATATGGCTGAAATATTGCCGATGTGACGTTAAATATTAACTCACTCACTCACTAAAACGGCTTAAAACAACACCCATTCAGTCATTTCATCCTGAGTCATTGACGTGGTCATAACTTACACATCAACATTTATTCATCCCGTGAAGACACTCCGCTTGTCTTTCTATCATTCGACCATACAATAGTTGTGATGGTTTTACTAATAACTTTCGCACAATGTAAATTAGATATAGGTAGTATTTACATTGAATGAATATGATTTTACGTGGTTGTTTGCAATGTTCCGGATTATATTGTCTTGAATTTTAAACAATTGATTACACATTGTACCTCTATATGGAAAATAGTGAGTGAGTTTAGTTTTACGCCACTTTTAGCAATATTCCAGCAATATCACGGCGGGGGACACCAGAAATGGCCTTAACATGTTGTACCCATGTGGGGAGTCAAACCCGGGTCTTCGGCGTGACGAGCGAACGCTTTAACCACTAGACTACCCCACCACCCCAATACGGAAAATAAACACGGGACCCCTGTGAGACAATCGAAGCTAGATCCCCATTACGATCTTCAATACTTACTGTACGTTAGATGTGTGCTGCTTGGAAAGGACCCACGAAATGGGATACAGGATATACATATTATGCATGATATTTAAATGAGGAAAAAGTAACCATATAAGCAAACACTATGCTTATAAAATAGCCATGGAAAGTTGTTATTCCTCTCTATATAATTGCTATATATGTCTGGAATTATATTGGCGTATTGGTTGCTATTAGAATTAGTCTTCAACAGCCATGCATGTCGTAACGGGATCGGGCTTTCAGGCTCGCTGACTTGGTTGATGCATGTCATCGTATCCAACTGCACAGACCCATGCTCATGATATCACCGGATTGTCCACAAGGTCATGATATCACCGGATTGTACATAACAAGGTCATGATATCACCGGATTGTACGCAACAAAGTCATGATATCACCGGATTGTCCACAACAAGGTCATGATATTACCGGATTGTCCACAAGGTCATGTTATCACTAGATCGTCAACAACAAGGTCATGATATCACCGGATTGTCCACAACAAGGTCATGATATCACCGGATTGTCCACAACAAAGTCATGATATCATCGGATTGTACACAAGGTCATGTTATCACCGGATTGTACACAAGGTCATGTTATCACCGGATTGTCCACAACAAGGTCATGATATCAGCGGATTGTACACAACAAGGTCATGTGATCACCGGACTGTACACAACAAGGTCATGATATCACCGGATTATACACAACAAGGTCATGCCATCACCGTATTGTAAACAACAAGGTCATGACATCACCGGATTGTACACAACAAGGTCATGTTATCACCGGATTGTCCACAAGGTCATGACATCACCGGATTGTCAACAACAAGGTCCTGATATCACCGGATTCTCCACAAGGTCATGACATCACCGGATTGTCCACAACAAGGTCATGACATCACCGGATTGTCAACAACAAGGTCCTGATATCACCGGATTCTCCACAAGGTCATGACATCACCGGATTGTCCACAAGGTCATGACATCACCGGATTGTACACAACAAGGTCATGGTATCACCGGATTGTACACAACAAGGTCATGGTATCACCGGATTGTACACAAGGTCATGATATCACCGGATTGTACACAACAAGGTCATGACATCACCGGATTGTACACAACAAGGTCATGACATCACCGGATTGTCCACAACAAGGTCATGTTATCACCGGATTGTCCACAACAAGGTCATGTTATCACCGGGTTGTACACAAGGTCATGTTATCACCGGGTTGTCCACAAGGTCATGATATCACCGGATTGTACACAACAAGGTCATTACATCACCGGATTGTCCACAACAAGGTCATGATATCACCGGATTCTCCACAAGGTCATGATATCACCGGATTGTACACAACAAGGCGCTATTTGTTTCTCTCAGAATTATATATTTTTAAAGACTAAGCGTTAGTCTAGCATAAACGTTTACGCCTTTGTATATTGGTGGCTGTAAATATGATTTGATATGCGTATCACAGTTGTATATTTTATTATACAATGGCAGTGTTTCGGCTACTAGTAGTGAATGAGTGAGTGAGAATGGTTTTACGCCGCTTGTAGCAATATTCCAGCAATATCACTTCGGTGGGAAACCTGAAATGGGCTTCACACATTGTACCCAGCATGTGGAAAATCGAACCCGGGTCTCCGGCGTGACGAGCGAAAGCTTAGACCACTAGGATACTCCACCGCCCCTGCTACGAGTAACGCTTTGATAATATTTCGGTCAAATTCAGTTCGCAACTGTATATTATTATGCGGGTCAGTTACATACAACCATTTTGTCATATAGAATATTCCATGAACAAATGCCAAGATTTTATTATACATCAACGTTCTGAAAGGCATTAAGTAATTATATCAAAATTAGTGTAGTTCAACAGCTCATGGTCCCTTGTCATGAGAATATATCTTTAGTCACTATTGTCACTTTTTAAACTTGTTAACACCTGATGAAAAATGCGAATTTCCAACAAAGCCAGCGCTCTTTAAAGAAGATTTTACGAATTTCCATCCTAAAGTTTCCCGCCCTATCCCACATCTAGCTTACATGTTGTCTGTCCAGTGATTTTAGATAACCCGTGAACTGACCATTCAAGTGCCTGACAAAACCTCACGTGCTATCTGGGTACACGAAGTTGTTGACTTGCGTCGGCGAAGTTTCCGTAAACAAATAGGAAATTCATGTTTTCCTCAAATCGAAAAATAAACCTCTGAACTTTAAAGTTTAATTTGTGGAGCACGGGCTCGTACGAACGTGCACTAAGCAGTGTTATTCACTTGAGACCCAAGAACGCTCGTATCTTACGTTTGTTTCACGTGCCGAATTTGAAATTAGCCAAGGTGACGAGTGCGAGAAGACAACACTGAGGCCCTGTTAAGGTTGTCAATATTGTTGAAGTTTTTAAAGTCACTTCATCGTCTTAGCAAAATGAATATTTGAAAAAAAATATTTTCTTAACAAACTTCAAAATATTTTTAGAATGTTAATTTCCAGAAACTATTACTGCAGACTTTGGAATTATCGAGGAAGTGTTGGGAAGATGATACCGTGAAGAGAAAGTGAGTTTTCTTTATCCCCTAATGGTCCTCAAGTTGAGTATGGCGGTTTGACACCAGAGTTAGCACTTCAAAACAATGCCAAGTTATATGGTTCGTGTGAACCACTTCAGAAGGCCTCGACTTTTCCATGGACGTGGATTTGAATAAAGTGTCTCCCAGAAAGGATATATA